CATTTTGGAAGGTCCTATACTGTGATTATGTTTTCTTTAGCTGTGTCCTTCCTTCTTTTGTCTACTGATTTCTCAGACCCTGTTCTTAGCTTTTCTTCTTTGATATCTGACTTATTAACCTTCTGTGTAGAAGCCTTATTCTCTGAATTCGACAATTTTGCTTTTTGTGGCTTTTTGAGAAGGTTCTCTGAATCTTTAATAGTTTCATAATTGTCAAAGATTACATTATACTATTCAATCTCTTTCTTTTTGAGTTTCTCTCTCAAAATGTTTAGACCTTTAAGGTAATTGAAGCTGATGACTACCTAACTGTTTCTATTTTCAAAGTACTCGACAATCTCACTTATATGAATATTTTTATATAGTGTTCTTTTTACAAATTTGATTCGTTCTTTTTTTGATTTATCAGAAAGAGAGATGGAAGAAATCTTTGCTCTATATACTTCTGTTTTTTCACAAGTATTTTCATTGGGTGCCCACTGACTATCTTCAAGAAAGATTTCTTGTGGTTCTTTATAATTTATAACTACATAATCTAGTTGTTTTTTCTAATACTTCTTTGGATCATTTATTTCTTTTTGCGAAGTTCCAAGTGAAGTATCTTTTGCATCCTCAAGAATTATATCCTTTGTATGCAAGGCTAAATCTATAAGCTCAAAATCTGCAGATCCTGTACTGCCAGAATCGACCTCGCTGTTTAGAGTAAACTCACTCGCTGCTATACTAGTTTTTTTGAGAGTTAGATATTTCATAATCCTCTTTTAACTCTCTATCTGTAAATAGAATATCAACTGCTATCTTGCTACTCGTTGCAATTTTCCTATTCAGGTGCTTAATTTCTTTAGAAATTATTAATTTTGTATTATTCTCTATACTCTCTACTTCAGACAATTTATCGTGAGATACATTAGACTTAGCTGACTTAGTAGTTATTTTTTGATCTACTAACTCAGTTAAATCTTGTACAACTTCTTTAGGCTGTGACTTAGCTTCTACTATTAAGTTCTTGTTTTCTTTAGACTTTGTTTCACTTTCTTTAGCCTCTTTAGCAGTTAATAATTTCTGTTCAAGCTCTTCAAGAGCTGTGATCAGTACTTCTCTACCTTCTTCAATGATTATCTTTTTAATTATTCTACACCAATTTCTAATTACTGTAATCACTTTGGTACTTATTTCTGTGATTTTAGAAATGAAATCATCTATTTGCTCCCTACTTCCTTCTATATTCTCGATTACACTAATGAGCTTCTGCAGTTCTTTTTCTTTAAGCATTGCTTTAATACTTGCTACCTTTTTCTTGCTTGGTGAGAAGCTTTCTTCTGACTGCTTTGAAGAGTTTTTATCTTCTGATATTATAAATAATCAGGTTCTCTACTTTTTAAAATGACTTCAGCTTTTTTGCTAAAAACTCTAAGATATTTCCTGATTACTTAC